CTTTGTTTAATGCAGTCTTTGTCATACTGACTTAGCTCACCTTGAGGGCATGAAATGAAATCACATTATAGTAATGCCATGGCGTCTTGCTATTTAGGCTCGGCGTATCTTGTATTTTGTATGTGACTACCGCCTCCTTCCAAATGATATTTTGTGCAAGTATATTGTTATCCCTTTTAATATATTAAAAGCAAAGCTGTGTGTCTCCGTTATTTGCAAATTGCTGTGTTGTGTTTGACAGTAGTGTTGAACAGCATTTTTGAAATTAATTTTAAAGGACCTATGCACATAAAATGGATTGCCCTGCTTTAGTTTGGCCAAGGTAGCTCAAGTTCTTTTCTAGGTTTTAAAAATGTTTCTGGAACTAATGGGTAAATCTCATTTACTATTACTGAATGAAAGTACATGCTTATATAAAGCAACAGAAGGGATATTCCTAGCCCCAAACAAATCAGGCAGATGCCCATGGTGCTTTTAAGCCGAGAGCACTAGATTTAAATGGGGTTTGGAGGGGGGCTGCAGCACTTAGTGATTTGTGTTTATTTATAGCTCCCAACTCTCCCTTATTTAGAGGTATAGTCCCTTTTCTGGAATCAAATATCAATAGTCACCATTGCTGTATGACACGACAGGCTAATGTCATGAAGACAGATGTTCCTAGTCCCCGACAAGCTAGGCACTTGCCTGTGGTGCGGCAAACCTGAGGGCACTAGATTTTGAGGAGGCCTACATGCACTGTTTAACTATTGAAATTGTTTATATGGCGCTAAATTTTCCATCTAGTCTTCAAAATCATTTATATTCCAACATAGGCACAGTGTAATGGGAAAGTAGCGTTGAAAAAGGTTAAAAAAAAAACACCAGTGTTTTTAACTGATCATTTCTTGGGAGGTGTGGCAAGGGAGTGTTACCTATATCAAAAAGTTGAGGTGTATATGTATAATGGTCGTTCAGTGGACTTTTTTTGTTGGTGCAATGTCCCAGCCCCCTTAGCAAATCGCGGATTATAGCGACCGCAATCACAAATAACGTCACTTACTCGCTGTTGCTTTTAAATACAGTGCAACACCTGGGAGAAAATTGGGGCACATTGTTGGACATATCTAAAAATATATTTCTTCATTTCACATGTTAGGTGCATATGGTTGTGAAATGATAAATATAGTTTGGTTTGGGTTTCTGGCAAACTACAGTATGTTTGCTTAGCGTATAGCTTTGTTCTAAGTAGTATATTGTGTCTGGTATACTAAATATGATGCTTTGTGTTGAACTTGCTTGGCTGCCTGTTTCCTTGTTTACACTCCACTGTCTGAGTTCTAGTGTACATGAGATTATAGGAGCCTGATATTTGGAAATGTAAGATTAATAATAATAAAACAAGCCCACCCTCCCCAACTTTCACGTTGCCAAAATCTTCTCTCTTGCTGGCCACTCCTGCACAATAACCACCTTAAACAGAGCTGTACTTATACAGTAGCCAAGCTAAGAGTATGGCCCTGTTCAAGTGGAACTAAAACCTATCCCTTTCAGCCTCTAGTTGGATTGCAGTTGCCATGGTGCTGCACATGTGATTAGATATGACACCAGCCACTTAAGGGTTTAAAAGTTCTGTTGAGGTCTGAAATTAGCACTGGCAGCATTGACAGTGAGCATGCCTTAAGTGTAGGTTCACACCATTTTCTGGACCAGATCTGGAACACAGTGCATTGCATTTTGTCGTGTTTTTACTGTGATTTTGCCACGTTCCAGAGCTGGGGTTTTTTTTAGCCTAAAATGGGCTTTCAGGCGTGTTCCAGTGCGTTTGCATGTGTTTTTGATGCGTTTCCAGTGCATTCCACACCAGACAAAATTAGACGTGCAGTATTATTCTGGTCTGGTCTGGAACAGACTGTGCTGGTATGGACGGAGGCCAGAAATAGCATAGGTATACAATAGGATGCATTTGGGGTCCGGAAACGGTCTGGTCCGGAGATTACGTAGATATGGTGTGAATGGGCCCTAAAAGTAACTGTTATAATTGTTGGTTAAAGTTTCTCTTTAATGGGCAAGTGTGGCTAGCACAGGAAAGATTTTGGCAACAAGGCTGTAAACACGAAATCAGGCTGCCACCATCAGGAATAGTTTAGCAGGTACCCGGATGGGGGAGTCTAACTTAAATAAGGAAAGGAAGGGTGTGCAGATAGGGTTTTTTTTTTTAATAGATTGAGTTTTCTTCTAGGCCACATTTAGGTACTTAGGCTAATTCAACTTGAAAAAATATTTATTATTTAATGACTACATAACTGCATCCAGTTATTTTTTTATATATACGATTGCAGCTTTCATTATATATTATTCCTACTTTATTTTGAAAGGGCCTGATTATATTTTGCAAACAAAAATTGAGCACATCAGTTATAATAACAAAAGCTATGCATACCTAGACTGATTTTGATTCTTGAAGCTTCAGTAGTGGGTGGCTGGTGATATTTAATGCCTTCTTAATATGCCACTAACAGAACACAGCTGGGATACTTAGGATTTTATACTTTAATCAGCTTTTAGTGCATAGTATGATACAGCCATCAAATTAATACAAAGCTATTTTTTTTAAATCTGTGCAGTTAAGCATACCGATTACTAATTACATAAAAATAAATTTTGCTTCTAAAGTGTTACTGACTTTATAGCATGGATTTAAGAAAAGTGTGCTAAAGAGTCCTCCTTTTTTAATTTACTTAACTTCTTGGTAACAATTAATTAAAAATAAATGGCAAACAAAAAAGAGCATCCAGCTCTTTATTTAGAGCTGCATGGCTGTTACCATGGCAATGGGAAGGGCTTCTACACATGTATTATTTCTGGGAACGTTCGTGGCATTGGTAAAATACTCATTGCTCATATCAACTGTGTATGTGGCTCCTGAGGAATATTCTGTCTGTCTGTTATACAAAATCTGACTTGCATTAAGGCCACACTCAATACAGACAGCTAAATACACTGCTGAGTTATATACATGTGAATTGAATTACCTGCATCTGTTCCACTGATCTTGTGATGCAGCACAGTATAGCCTGGTCCCATATTCCCTACAACTAAAATGTAATCACCTTAAAGCAAACCTGTACATTGCCTATTCAAGACAACGCAACTCCTCCCAGCATGTGTAGGTGGAATCCACTTTCATGATTTATAAAAAACAGTGGCATTGTTTCAGCAAAACTGGCCTGTTTTAAAGACCTCCATGGTGAACGAGGAACAGGACTAACCATTTCAGAGTTCCACTAAAAAGACAGCACATAGCAAAATATGGCTGTCTATAAACAATATATGTATATGTGTGTGTATATCTATATATATATATATATACAGATATATATATATATAAATATATATGGGGTGCTATTGAGGTTCCAGGTGTACATGGCACAATAAATCAGTTAGAAGCCTGTGGTTACTGGCCCACAGAAAAACCTGGTGTCAGGAAAGGGAATGCATTTTTAACAGCGAGATGTCCAAAATAAGTCATGGCAGGCAATCTTCTATTATGTAGACCTTGAATTGTTGTGTCTGGAGTTCAGCTTTGAGTAATACACAATAACTTGCATTATCTGTCCGGTAATCTGATTTGGTGCTGTTGTATACAAATGGCTTTTGAATGCTGCCTGCCCACCTAATAGATGAAAGATATGTGTAAAAGGATAAAGTGTACTCTGTCATTCAATAAATGAAGGCTTTTCATTTTGTCCAGCCTTTGTTACATTTTTTCCAATTCCTGCCTTAAAAAAAACCTTTCTCACATTGCTCCATTTTCTGTATTTTACAGTCAGTAGATACAAAAATAGAAAACAAATAAGAGAAAACAAATTTGAGGCAAATGCAAAAAGCTGTGGTTACCTTCAGCGAAAACATTGTCTCAAAGATCATTCTAATGATATGCACATCTTGGCTTTTTCTAGAGCCTGTCTGTCCTACTGCCCAAAGCCACCAATCCTATTAAAGGACCAATAGGAAGTCGAACTTGACTTTTACAGGAAAGGTTGAGATTTGCATGTCATTTCAAATGCCTCTGGATCTACAAGTAGCTTGTAATAAAGGTAACCTCTTTTTTCGAATCTTTTATCATAAGCCATCATGGGCAGGGCCCTCCTTACCATCCTGTCTTGAATTGTGTTGTGATTGTAATGTCTTCCTTAGATTGTAAAGCGCTGCGCAAATTGTTGGCGCTATACAAATCCTGATCATCCTTTATTGGCCAAGTTTCATACAGGTTTACTTTATAAATGAGTTCTCATAGCAGGGAGACATCTTTTTCCTTATGTGGTTTCCCTCTTTTTCCCACCTCTATACATTTGTGACTAAATTCAGCAAATTACAGTAAGTTTATGGAGGAGTGTGTGTAGGGGATGTTGAGAGGAGCCAGACGAATCCCTATAGCTCAAGAAACATGAGAACCTCTCTTTATTCTCCTGTTTGTTGGTCTGCACAGTAACAAAAACTAGATGTGAATATTAAATTAGAACTGAAGACAAAACTTTTTTTGGGGTTTGGATAGAGTGGAGCACTAGACCACTAGCATTAGACCACTATCATCTAATCAGTAATAACACATCTCAAAACAAGCCATCATTTATCTCTGTATCTATAAGCATTGTAAAGAAATAATTTTCACATTCACAACACAGGCATATAGAGACGTGTATCAATTAGTGATGCTGCTAAACAGAAGCAGTGAGACAGATTGTGCAACAGTTTTACTATAAGGTTACAGCTTGAGTCGTAAATTCTTCCACCAGTTGCTCTAAAGTCGCACTGCAACTAAATGAATCCTGACCATGACCACTTCTTAATTATTTGACGGTTTAGAGTGAGTATGTGTTGCTATGCAATGTTTATTATAATTTAACGAAGACACATTTAATTAAGAAGCTGCAAATGTCACCTGTCCTAATGCAGGGATGATAGCTGAGGGAGTGGTTTTATACTCTATTGATACAAATTCTGTTTGATTCTTTCTGTAGGTGATGCAAGTCGTCAGAGAACAGATCATGAGAGCACTCACAAACAAGCCGAGTTCTTTGGACCAGTTTAAAAGCAGACTTCAAAACCTCAGCTATACCGAGATCTTGAAAATCCGTCAGTCAGAAAGAATGAACCAGGAAGATTTTCAGTCCCGTCCAATCCTGTAAGTACTGTGTCTGTAAAAGAAGAGCATCTATTAATTCCTTCACTGCTGATGCTTTCACAGCCAACAGAAATACGTTTGCTGTTAGAAACTACTTTAAAGCTTAACTCCTCCAAATCATTTTGAATAGAGTGGAGAAGAGTTAAAATTTCTGTCTGTAACCCCATTGGGAGAGTGCATCTCGCTACCTGTGCCTATGACACCTAATCTATAAATTAGGGGGGCATCGGGGCATAAGGGCACAGGCAGTAATAAAAAGTGATAACTGTATATATACAGTACATTATATACAATTTAGAAATGGCCATGCTGTCTTTGGTCCAGGGATCTAATACCGTTAGGTAAATATTTGCCTGGATTTATATATTCTTTGTGCGTCAGTTGGCTTTTTCCTTCGTGCTGTTAGAATAATCACCTTCTGTTCAAAGTGATCATTGTGTCTTTGTACTTGTGTGACTATATAGATGAGCTAACCTAAAACTGAACTGCAGGCAGACAGCTAAATATGCAGATAATAAGCATGTATGAGACCTGTTTACACTGACAAAGAATTTCTGAAATTTACACAGCCTTGCTAAAAAAAAATCACAATCTTAACAGAAAACTCCACTTTAAAAAGTTTTTTTAAAAATCATGAAAAAAAAGAATATAGCATATATGATTGCTACACAAGCTATTTTGTAATTTACAGGATTATTCACAAAAGGGTGAAGAGTTTGTAGTAGGCAGGAGAAGTGAACAATCTAGGACAAGATAGCTGAACTGGAAAGTGAGCTGAATTGGAGATTTTTCCAGTTCAGCTATGTTGTCCTAGATTGTTCACTTCTCCTGCCTTCTCCAAACTCTTCAACCTTTTGTGAATAACCCTGTTAATGTTAAAATTACCTTTCCATTTAAAAGAGTAGCCTCTGTACTTTTCTAAAACTGTCAAAACAATTCAATGCAATATGGTGACCTGGAGGAGTTCCGTATACAGTAAGTGTATAGAATGCCCCCAGAACCAGAAATATAATTTTCTGCTTCTGTGATTGACTGATTTTAACAGACATCTGCACTAAGACACGGGTACAATTTTAGGCATCCCTTGCCATAGGACTTTCAGTTTTGGTGACAATGGTGAGATACTCCCCAAGGCCTCGTTCATACCAGCCTGATTGTGGCCGGAACGCACTGGATCGCATTGCGGCCTGCTCAGTTTGTTGTGGGGCAGGAGGGGGCGTGGCGGTGCTTTGATGTGGATGGCACCGCAATGCGATCGGCCGCACAGAAACGCAAGGCACATCAATACCTGCGGTCCGGTCAGAAAAAATATATAATTTTGATACAGGAGTCACTATCAGCATTTTTGATAAAAAGAAAAGGACAAGGCTTTTTAACTGTCACTCATGCTTTTCCGATAACACAGGAAGAGCCATTCTCCCAGTTAATGTTGGAGCTCTCAGTTTGACACCTGGGTCCTGTTTTTTGTATCAGAAGTGGCGCGCTCTTGTGCTGATGTAATCAGAAGGGTTAGGCTGTCAGTTTGCCAGACTAGTTCCACTCTGTCTGCAGAGGTCTGCTCAGTGTGTCAGAGGCTAGTGTCAGCACTCCAGATACCGAATATGTATGTGTGTGTGTATAAATAGGAGCTTTTATGGATGAATTTGAGAAGACATTTATCTTCCCCTAATAATTGTTTGTGTGACACTGCATAAGATGCAAGCGCTACGTAGATTATAGTTTTATTTATTGTGAAGGAGTGACATTTTATCAACAATTCCATAAAAAAAAATAATCTGTGCAATATATCTATTTAATTGAATATGACAATTAATTATACACAAATTCCATTTTTTGACACACTGGTCTATTTAGAGGCGTTTGAGTACAGATATTTATTCAAAGCCCACTGATAACAATCAGTTGCTTCAATATAGCAGGTTTTATCCTCCTTATGTATTCAAATCAGTGGAACCAGTCAGTTACTTTGTGTCAAAAAAATAGGAGTGAGCCAGTGAGGCATAAGTTACACATTGAGGAGATGATTGAGAAATGTAGACAGAGAAAACATCCCCCTGAGTTATTAGAAAATGAGAGAAAACTAGCTGATCTTGAATCATGTGGGAGTGATGATAGAAGAAAAAAGTGAAATTTCTAAACATTTATTTGTCAATACAATATAATTCAAGTAGCAAACAAGTATTCAATTTAATATATAAACATTGGCATGTTCTCTCTGAGGCTTATCCTCAATTTCTGGATTTTTTTGTTTGCCTTGTTACAGGCATTTAGATGGGAAAAGGTCTAAGAAATTGATTGGTGAGTTTGAAACTCAAGACCACAGTAAAACATACACAATCACCTATTTTGCAAATCAATTCCATGTTTATATTGTAGACAGTGTGCTTTGATGAAGAAAGGCCCTGAGTTTGTACATCCTGTACCGAGATTGAGTTATATGATAACTAGACATTTTACATGTCAGTCATCATTTGTAATTTAGGCGCTTAGTTTTCCCTGTAAACGCATTTATTTGGTGAAACCTCACAGATGGGTGAGAATTCAATCAGCACTGATGCACTATTATAAAAAGAGGTTATGGTTAGGCTGAGGAAGGGGATAGGCTTCCCCAAAACGTGTTCCTTTTCCAGTACCTTGTTCGATCACACAGGGCAGATTGCATTACCAGAGGGATGAAAAGGAAACAGAAAACTTGCGCTCCAGCTTTGGTGTGCACTCCATCTACTGGACCTCTGGCTCCTGACTAACCCCATAGCTTTATCTTCTGAGGGACCCCATCCTGGCAGTTTTGCAGGCAATCAGGGTGATTTTCTTACATATGTCTTCTTAAACAAGTTTTACAATTGTGAGGGCATACATTGTATTTATTTTTATAGAGACTTGCTACCCTATGCCAATGTGCTTGTTTGCTTGTGTGTGTTACAAAAAGATCCCCAACTTTTCCAGTGTCTGAGCACATTGTGAGTTTAACCATTCTGAAACTGATTTGACGTTCCACACCTGAGGAGCGAAGAAGTTAAGCTTTTGATGTTGAAAAAACATGAGGTGTGATGGATGAATAGATTAGGGACATTGGATCCTCTGGGTTTAAACCAAGATTATAATTTGTATTTATACTTGTAACCATCGAGCAGTGATCAGAAAAAAGGAGGATTATATTGCCAGACTGAGTTATGACTTATGTATACATAATTATGATTGTTTCCATTCTCTTGACTGTAAGTTATTGTCTTGGTTTGAAAATAATGGTGGAGGATGTTATGCTGTTGTAGGAATTGATATTGGTGAACACAATCACAATGAATTATCATGACTCTGAGTAGTTGTAATTGGTAATCTGTGAAAGTGATCATTGCGGTCATGATCAGCTCTTAAACTTTGCCTTTTGAATGTCATATAATGGTCTGGTATCACACTGGCTGAAAGACTGTCCAGGTGGGAGTTGTCCATCCAATGTAATGGACGTGAGCCTTTTTAAAAAATGATTATTTTATATAACAGGTGTGTGCCGCCATTTATGGGAAGTAACTTCCTGTTTTTAATGTATTTAAACCACATAATAATTGATGTAACCTTTTTACCTGATGAAGGACAGGGACAGTCAAATAGCAGGTACTGGTGTGTGTGTGTTGGTTTTTATGCCAAGGGTGTACTTACATTTCTTGATCATACAGTACAGGACTTCCCAGTAAAATATGTTTCATGGAGTACGGTACAAGACACAGGCAGAAACAGAGGAGACTGGGTAATATTCAGGTATCATTAGGTGATTGGACAATAGCCAGCGCTGTGAGGAACCGCATATTACCCCTCCCCTATTTTCTTGATCATACAGTACAGTACAGATTCATAGATGACTGGGATATACACAAGCAGCGCTCTAAGGGCAGGGAAACACAGCAAACAAAACCGCCCACAATCCCATAATAGAAAAACAAGGGGTTAACCCCAACTCGTATATCAGCCTGTAGCACCTTACAGGCAAAACTCTAATCAACAGAGGCACGATATT